CATCTTTGGGCAATCCTCCAGGAGGCTTGGAGTAATATATCAAGTCAATGTTTGAATAAACTGACTGCTCGGATGCCTAGTGTTGTCCCTTATTATCAATGCAAAATGGTCACTAACTAAAGAGGATTTATGCTGATATTGCCCAAAAACCCTATTTTGTTCAGGCGTTTCCAAACTTTTGGAGGGCAGTGTATATGAGTAAGCTCGTGAGAATACAGCTGTATTTTCACTTGGGGTGGTCTTTTAATTGTTTATGACTTAATATGCAAATGGATTTCTCTATAAGAGAAATTAAAGAATCTATAATTTTTATACAGCTACAGACAGAACGACCAAAAGCAGTACAGGGTTCTTTCTTTTTCCTTGTCCAGACGTCTTCCAGAATGGTTTTAAAAAAAATGTCTATATTTCGTGGTCATTAGACATGGGAATGTAATTCATTCATTCGTTCATCTTCAGTCAGCACTTTATCTTGGTCAGTGTTGCCGTGCATCCAGAGTCTATCCCAGGAACAATGGATGCATCCCGGAAACTCTGCACGGGCAGTAACTTGAGCTCAGGATCTAAGCAGAGTACCTGGGGCTGTGAGGCAGTAATGTTACCTGCTGCGCCACTGTACCTCCCCAAAGGAACGTCTACATCTACTGTATGTTACTTTGATAGCAAAATATTCAGCAAAGAATAAAAATAAAATACTCTACCAGGTCTGGAAAGAAGTGCCATGGTTTCCATGGTTTTTCCAGACCTGCGCTTGAACCATGCAGTGCTGCGACACTGCTGGATTCCTGCAAATCAAGCGTTTGTGTCACCTAAACAAAACCACTCAGAGGCAATATTAGAATTCTATCAAAAACTTTAATGGCTTGTATCCAGTAATGGGTTTTGGTATTGGCTAGAGTTACTAGACTTACTCGTAATTAAATGACACAAAACCATCACTGAGAATAAGAAATGTTTTGATCATTTTGGGCAACGATGCAGATTTTTACTCTGTTAGGGATTATAATTCTACCCATGAGGCTCTGCAGTTCTTAACCACAGGGCATCATGAAGATTAGCCAAAAGATTAAAATCTTACGCACTGGGAGCCTTTCTCCAGTCGTAAGGTGCTCCTCGGACATCTTCATCTCTGGTGTAACCCCAATCCACCAGGGCTTGCACTATAGTGAAGAAGTATATTCCTGTGATGGATAAAAAAAAAAAAACACAGGCATAAGGATGACTACGAGCAGGTTCTCAGCACAGACGGGTGCATTTGGTCTTTGTTTTCATGGTGCTTCTTGCAGTGAACTGAAAGGCAGCAGTGGCTTTCAGATCCTTTAGAAACTTTGCATTTATTTGACTGAGAGTAAGAGAACAAGAAAACAAGAAAACACGTAAATTAAAGCACCCCGGAGCTGTTTTTCACAAATAGCTACTGGGTGCCTGTGCCACAACAGCAGTCACTCACCCACGCTGTGTTTGCTCGGGTCGAGGTACTCCAGGCCGAACGTCTGACCAAAGCCGGGCACGCGGATGTCCACGCCCGGAGGTGTTTCGGTACTTCGAGTAGTGCGATTGTAGATCAGCCTGATGCACAAAATGAGGCAAATACATATAAAGGACTCGCCTATTATGCGTACAAACAGTTAGCACACAGTACTAAACAAGAAATATGCACTAAATGTGTGTAAAATTAAAACTTGCATAAGTGGAATGTATTTAAAAAGAAATCATCATCATCATCATCATAAAAAAGACTGTGCTACAGCTTATAAAGGGGAAGTATTCGATTATATTAGTAGTTCTGGTGCGCCAATCTTTAGGGGTTCTCTCTAAAGTGATTCAGTTCCCTATGCTTATTACAGTTTTTCTTTAAGATTTTCTTTATAATACGACTTCATGCGTCTCCATAAGCAGTGACTTACAGCAAGAGACAAACGCACCGTGCCAAGGAAACAAACACCAGTGCACCAAATCGATTCAGTGAAACTTTACACTCTATTTATTCAGCAGTGAAAAGAAATCAAATGTAGATTAAAAAAAAAAAAAGGAACCAGGTGGCTAGTAAATGTGACATTTTTAGCCATTTATAGTTACTCATTTCCCTCTGAGAAACCAAAGCCTGAGCACAGAAATCATGATGAAGCCTTACAATGCAAAGCATCCTGTTTTAGTCAGTGAAGTGCAAAAACAACTCGGTGCTTCTTTCCACATCTGGAAATGTGTCTGATGACATACAGAAGAAACGTGAGAACAGAGTGTGAAGTTGCGAATGCGGACATGAGTCACAACTTAAACTGAGAATTGTAGTCTCGTGTAAGAGTCTAGTAAAAGTCATTATGAAATACGGCAAGTGAATAGAAGGTAGGTGGACATGACACATGAAACTGCAAGCAGAGACATCGAAGACAGTGACTCAGACTTCCTTAATCTAACTAAAGTCGACAGCCATGTTGATTTGACATCACTTGCTAAAGTTTAGGAGACTGTCCCGAGGTTACAAGCAGGAATTCTAAGTTGAAGGGGTGTTTTCTTTGTTTTTTTTCCAAAATGTCAGAAATCCAGGGCTGTAGTCGAATGCAGCATAGATGTATGTACAGATGGTCTAAACTGAGCACATATACACTATTAGACCAAACGTATGTGGACACCTGACCATCACACCCAAATGCGGTTCTTTCCCAAACTGTTGGCACAAAGTTGGAAGCACACACTTGTATACAATGTCTTTGTACGCTGTAGCTTTACAGTTTCCCTTCACTAGAACTAAGGGGATGGTTGGGTGTCCACAATGCTGTCAGCATTTCATTACACACTCGACCTGAGGTCTGTAGACTTGTGCACGTTTGCCTACAAAACGTCCTGTGAGCTAATAACAGTCACTAAACATCATGAGACGGATTCACTTGATGCTTCTCACCTCATGTTATCGATCCAGCAGTCGATGGCCACAGGCACCAACAGCTCCAGGTTCAGCCACAGCGTGAAGTACTCGTCCGTCTTCTTGTAACAGATGTAGTGAACGACGCTGGGTTTATCTAGCTTAGCCTCCAGCTGGTTCCCGAGATCACCTGGAACTGCAGAGCAACAAGGCTGAGTGAAATACTCAGTTATAGCCATTCACAGAGAGGAATCCGGCAAGTTTTTTAGATAAATACTGCAGCATTTTACAACAGGATTTCTATCATTGCGCAATCATGGACAAGCCAAAGGGTAGCTGTTATATTCTGTTGATTATTTTCCAATAATAGCATGTCCCAACATGCTTCATTCCAAATATGCAAAATCTGTATTTATTGAAGAATGACATGACAGTTTTTTTTTAATCCATTTATAGTTACGTTTAACTTTGTGGAATGTCCATGATCCAAGTTAGTTCCTATTACAGCAGCCATTCCCTCACCAGCCTCTCTTTTCCCTCGCTCTTAAAAGTTAATAAGAAAAAAGAAAGAAACCAGGAAGTGCAAAGTCTTTAGATAAATGTAATATATATATCAGTTTATGTGGGACGTCCATCCTACAAGTTCCCGTGTACCTTGTTTCAATAAAATATTAAAATGAAAACATTAATATAAACCTGCGATTTGTCTTGCAGCCGGCGCTACTGTCAGAGCTGCTGTTCTAGAAAAATAATCAGCAAAACAGAACTGAGAATGTAACAGCGCTGTGGTGGAAACAGACTTAGTGCCCATCTTTGTGTTTCTCTCTATATGCGTTCACATCTAAGGACATCCACAGTGAGTCTGATAAGAAGGCTGTCTCCTCTTATCGACTGATGATCAATCGTGACAGATCAAGGCTTAAAAGGGAATATTACTCTTAAACTGTGGTCACACAATTAAATTGGTTTTCTCTGTGTGCTGAGGCGACAGATCTGAAATGAAGCTTTAGTATAAACTCCATTTGACTCACCCTGATATTAGCACATGTTCAAACAGTGGCCTGTGTGCTTGCTGAACGTTAGATAAAAGGTTTCAAGATATCTCAGTTGACTTTTGGTTAAAATAACCCATTGTGGTTAAACTTCTGAGCAGCGAGTCTTGCCTTATCATCAGTGCTGCCCTTTCTTTAAAAAAAAAAAAAAAGTGCTAAAAAAAAAAAAAAAAAAAAAAAAAAAA